TTCTCTTGCCTCAGCCTCCCAAGTAGCTGGGACTACAGGCACCTGCCACAGCACCTGGGTATTTTTCTGTTGCAGTAGTCATTGTTGCTTAGCTGGCCTGGGTTACAGTCAAACCCGCCAGCCTCGGTGTCTGTGGCCGATGCCATAACCAACACATGCTACGGGTGCCAAGCCAGGGGAAAAGCATTTTTAAAAATAAAGAAATTAAATATGTAATGCTGAAAGGTTCTGTTCATCAGAAAAATACCATTCTCAATTTGTATGCACCTAATAATATACATGTGCAGCTACAAAATTACATAAAGGTACAAACTGACAAAACCACAAGAAAAGGCTGACTAGGCCACGATAATGGCAGATTTTTAAAACACCCCTTACAGTGCTTGATACGTAAGCTGATTCTCTGATCCGCCATGCAATTAAGTTAAAAATCAATTTTTTAAAGTGAGTTTTAAAACTCCAAATGACACTTAGAGAAGTAAAAGTACACCTCTACAAGAACAGGGAAATTATGAGGAAAACTGGGCAATATTTAGAACTAAATAATGAACATACTGAATAAAACTTGTGAAATCAATCTTGTGAAATAACTCTCACACACACACACACACACACACACAGAGCCTTAAATGCTTACTCTAGGAAAAAAGTCTAAAAATGAATGAGCTGCAGCAACAGCCGAATAATTTGCCTTGGACTAACCCTCCTACCAAGAAGAATCACAACTTCTGAACAAAACAGAGGAAGCATTTAAGGGCATTGGAAAGTAGCCAAAAGCAAGCAGAAACCAGGGAGACGTGCCCCCTTGAAAAAAAGAGAACATTTTTTTGAGATAAAGAAGGCAAATATGTGGAGATTAGGGTGTAACCATACTGCACAGGCAGCTGCCTCCATCAGACACCTGTGGACAACTGGTTTGAGAATCTAGGGTTCCCAGAATGTGAACAAAGGGAAGAAGAAATCCAGAAAGGAGGGGACAGGACAGGAGCAGCACTAAAATTGTCCTTGGCTGGCCTCTGAACTGCATAAGCTCAAGGCAAACACCAAGGAGCCCGCTGGAGAATGAGAGCTGCAAACCCCAAGGGGGAGGCAGGCACAGAGTTGGGATGTGGACCCTCAGAGAAGCCAGAGTGTCAGTGTGAGCCAGGCAAAAGGTGATCTGCTGGAAGGCACACATTTCTCTGCAGAGATAACAGAGTTCATTACCTAACACACCTTCCGCAATAGCCAGTGTACTGAACAGCAGGACCAGTAAGAATGAGGAGAGCAAGGCACTTGCTCTGGTGCAAATTTTAAAGGGGGGGAGGGTGCCAAAATGCTGAGTAGTCAAAAATTTGTTTTAGTATTGTAATTCACTATTTTAAAAAATCAAAATAAATGCAAAAATGCCATAGTAAACAATACAGCAAAATTTTAAATAAAGATGGAATTGGTAACAGTGCCACACCAAGACGTATTGGAGCCTGAGACAAGAGGAAAATCAGTCACACTGATCCAGTCCACTAACAAGGACTAACTCAGTAAATCACAGTATGTGAAATAAATACATGTATGCCCTGGAAAACTTTTATT